ATCAATGTTTCTCTCTGTCTCTCCCTCTCCCCTCCCACTCTCTAAATATCAATGAAAAAAAATATCCTCGGTGCAGGTTAACAAAAAAAGAAGAAAAGAAAGAAAACTAATATAAAGTGGCATACCACCCTCCTGAAGGTTATAAATGTCACAGATTAAATTAGCAAATCAGGAAACGCTATGTTAACACTTCTGTTCTGAACCTAATAATTTCCTTATTTAACTAGTGGTGCTATAATTATTCCTCAGAGATTACTAAAACCAATAAAAAAGTTGAAAATTGGACTGATGTCTACTCTTTAATGCTCAAAATTAGCTGCTACATTTTTAAATCTCCAAGATGTGCTAAAAGTCAAAGACAGTTTAATTAATATACCATTAGGTTCTGAAAATGTCAACATAGGCTCTGATATTCTAATTACCAAAGGGCATGCACTATATTTATATTGCCACTCTCTGGTCAAAACCTGATTTTTTTTATAACTCAAGAATAATATAGTTAGCATAGCAAGAGAAACAAATTTTATTTAGCTATGTTATCTATTCAAAGTAGAAGAAATTATATTGAGAAGCAGAAGTGTTTTATTTAGAAAACAACAGTTCAAAATTTCAATTTCTCTCCTAGGTACCTATCCAAGAGAAATGAAAACATGCATATAAAGCTCACAGCAGCATTAATAGCCAAAGAGTGAGACACCCCAAACGTCCATCAATTGATAAGTGGATAAATAAAACGTGTGTGGTATATCTATCCAATGGAATGTTTTTTGGCAAAAATAAAGTCTGAACTACTCATACATGCTACAATCTTATTTCATGGAATGATTTCGTTTATATAAACTGTCCAGAGTAGGCAAATTATCTACAGAGACAGAGAACATTAGTGGTTATGTAGGAATTGGGAAGAGAAGGAAATGGAGACTGCTACAGGATTTCTTTTTAGTTTGATTAAAATGTTCTAAAATTAAATGTAGTTGTGGTTGCACAATTATGTGAACAGAGTAAATTCCACTGAATTGTATACTTTACATAAGTGAATTACATAGAATGCGGATACATCTCCATAAAGCCATTAAGTAAAGCTGTTAAATTGCTCTATGTCCATATTATGCTTGTTATTGTTGCTGTTGCTCATTATTTAGTTGGTAATATATATTTTTTAAATCTTCATTCATAACGAGGATGGCTTTTCATTTTAAGAGAAGAACCCTCCTTTTCCTGATACCTATACAAAATGACAAACCAAGGATTCAAACTTCACATGACTTGGATAAATGAAAATTACCAGTCTCTTATTTAGAGAGCCAGAACAGAGCAGAGAAGCCTGCCAAGAACTCATACTAATTAAATTCTAACCAACAGGGCAGAGATCAGGAGGTCGGCTGTGGGGACGGAAGAGCTTTCTCATAACTGTGGTGGTTCTTTTGCATACACAGAAACTAGAATGTCCTCTGCACAGCTGCAAAGTATTAAGAATGCTGTAAACAGCCGAAACCGGTTTGGCTCAATGGATAGAGCGTCGGCTTGGGGACTGAAAGGTCCCGGGTTCGATTCCGGTCAAGGGCATGTACCTTGGTTGCGGGCATATCCCCAGTAGGTGATGTGCAAGAGGCAGCTGATCGATGACTCTCTCTCATCGATGTTTCTAACTCTCTATCTCTCTCCCTTTCTCTCTGTACAAAATCAATAAAATATATATTTAAAAAAAAAAAAAAAGAATGCTGTAAACACGGACAAGGTAAGCTTCACCATACAAACTCCTAACCTAACAGAAATGCAGAGGCAGAGCCCCACAACCAGTGGGTGGCTCTTTATAACAATCTACTTTGAGAGGTGGCTCAAGTGCTGCCTTCCTTAAAATGTCACCCTTCCCCCAAGGATCTGTTGGACAATGCCTGCAAGGCATACCCTGCACCTCCAGAGGTCCTTGTTATGATGAAAAGGTGTTGCCTCAGAGGCACAGCACAGTAAAAGCCTCTGAAAACATGAGAACAGGTCATTCTCTCTGATGTGTCCTGTGCCCTGAGCAGCACACCACGCAGGCTCCTAAGAGCAGGCAGCAAAGACCCACAGATACCCCAGGCCAGCACTCAGAACCCACACAGTCCAAGACTCTTGGATCCTTGGGTCCTCACCTTTGGCCCTTGCCCTTTGGTGACTGCTATCCCTTTCTTCTTTCTTTACCTCCTGTCTGGCATTTCTCCATCATTGATTTTGCTTGCTCCTTGAGTCAGTTTTCCCCTGTGCCTTCACACACAGGCCCAGAGGACTTGGCCACACTTAACTAGGCCAAAGGTCAATGTTAGGAGGCTTGAGGAAATAAGGGAGATACAGGTGGGGACTCTGGGTCAGAAAGAGGAAGAAAACTGTCAGGCACATGCCCACTGCCCAGCCTGAGCCATAGTGGCAACAGAGGCAACCTCAACCTGTGATAACCCTTAGGTTGGTCCTGCTTAGAGATGTTCCAAACACACTCTGCCCACTTAACAATTGTGACCTATTATGAGAAATTTAGGGTTAATGCCCACATAGCTTGGTCCACATAACCTATACATTTTGATACTTCTAGCACAAACATATTTACTAATTAGAAAGACTGAAACACTTCCTCCTGATGAGATTTTTTTAGAATAAGTGTAGCCCCTGTTTGAGAAAGCTTGGTATTTGACTGTTTATAGAATAGATTTTCCCTTTCTTATCTTTATGGAAAAAGTCCCAGATGAATTAAAAAATGTGATTTTATAAGCCAAAGTTATTAAACAGCTTCTAATTAGGTAGATACACAGAGTAGGGGAATGCCCCAAGGCCTTCTGAGGAAATCCATCTTTGGTCATTTCTAGGTGCAAAGGAGATTACTGACTTGAATAATTCTGTAACTAAGGGCTCTGTATGCTGGCTCATAATCTATAAAAGGCTGTTCTGTGCAAACTGAATTACAGAAATGAGGAGGAAATAATCAGAATGCTAAAATGCTACACAATAACATGGATATGGGGCCTCAGGTGCCTAGGTACATATGCAAACAGGAAGGTGACTACATCTGGGAGACAAAAAATACTTTTTAAGTCTTTTTTTATTCTTTTAATTGGTGAAAAGAAGGGAGACCAAATATTGCATGTTGAAACCATTCATGGTACTTTTGAGTACCATGAGTGGCTGGATACAGCAGTGGGAGAAGGATGAAGAGAAAGGAAAGGGCCCTGGCCAGTGTGGCTCAGTCAGTTGGAGCATTGTCCTGCACACCAAAGGGTGGTGGGTTCGATTCCTGGTCAAGGCACATACCCAAATTGCAGGTTCGATTGCTGGTTAGGGCGCATGTAGGAGGCAGCCTATTGAAATATATTGTTAATGGGGGTAGGGGGGTTCGGGGGGTAGTGGGGTGCAAAGACTAAACATGTAAGGCTGGCAGGCCAGGGTACATACTTGGATTTTACTCCTGGTGTACCAGAAGAGACATGACACAATGTATGATTTTAGATCACTCGAAAGACTGCTATGTGGCAAATACTTTCCAGTGGAGCAAAAGAAACATAAAAGCACAGAGTTCCATGAGAAGGACTGTCCTAACCTGGTGGGAGATGTTGGCCTAGAGTCCAGCAGTGGTGATGGAAATAAGGTAGACATGGCAAGGTATGGTTTCAGAAATGATCCTGAGATAAAGCCAACAGACTGGTAGGCAAAGGTGAGAAGACCCAGGTGTGGACTCTTGAATTGAAAGACAGTGGATATAAGGAAACAGAGGTTCTGTTGTAAGAGGAGTAGAAATGTAAGGTGGTAAGTTGATGTGGAATCAGGGAGGAGGGGTTGTGTTGTGGGTGGGGAGAGGTGTAGTGGTTCATGTGTTTAAGATAAAAGATATTACAATATGTTGATGAAAATGATCCAGCAGGGAGAGAGAGAAAGGGAAAGTGAAGATTCAAAAGGGAAATGTCTGCATCACTAGTAAGAAGGGATGAAATGTATTCAACGGAGAGATGTTCATGGAGCACCTATTAGATGTTCCTTGTTCTTAAGAGGTTCACAGGCTAATGCAGGAAAAAAATACAAATTATTAAGCAGCAAAATGAGATCCAATAGAGATATATACCAAGTATGTATGTATGTGTGTGTGTGTGTGTGTGTGTGTATATATATATATATATATATATATATATATACACACAAAGTATTAATGTATTATGATAAAGAGTGTTATTCTGCTATGATAGATGGGGTGAGGGGCACATACTGATGACAAAAATAAATGATTAACATATTTGAATTATTAATATATTTAGGTAAATATTTTTAAGCAATTGTTTCCAATTCTACTTTTCATAGAACAAAGACTTATTTTTATGATTCTAAAAAACTGCACAAAGACAAAATGATATTTAATTAGTATTAGACTAAGTAAACCCAGTTTTTGTAATCAACAAGAAAAAATGAGTGTTATCAGAATAGTCCAGTCTCTAATCATTTACAAAAGTTTTACTTTCTGTTTAAATTTTCCCCCAAACGCTACATGGATGAGTTCAAAAATAATTTGTCTATTCTGTAATGCTGAGTAACAAGCTCTATACTTGGAAGGCCTGCTCTAGGAGCCACAGTGGATTCACAGGAACATCTGCATCTTGTCAAGGCCAGTCCCCCCTGTGTAAGGTCAAAACCTGACCCACACTCTCAGTGACCTGCTCTGGCCAACCAGGCAAACCAGTCAAGAGCACAATATATGACATGAGTAACATTTCATTCCAAAGACGTGTGCATATTTTCAAAATGATTCATTTCAAAAATGAGACTTTTTTATATTCAAGAATATTAACTGGATGAGGTAAGATTTGCTGTTTTCAAAAACAACAGTTTCTCATGTTTTAAAAAATCATATGATAATTCTAAACAAAAACACCTCTAAAACTACTCATGTTCAAAATCATAGATTTTCCCATCTCAAAACAATTACTGGGCTAATGTTTTCCCCTGAGATAACTTGTCTTAAATGTCCCTCTTATTACACTTACCTGCTGAGCTGCATCTCCATTCACCAAGTGAGGCATCATGGCTACCTCTCCGTTCAGCAATGGTGGCAATTCCAGAGGGATTTGGTCGGTCATCATCATTGTGACGTACATTCATGGAGAACTTCACTCAGCTGGCTCCCTGCAAAAGAAACACCATTTTTTTAAAAAAGGACTCAGGACCACAAAAAGTTACCTGTAACAACAATTTAAGTGTTCTGTCTTGATGTCAGCAAAACTCAGAATATTCTATCATAGAGTACTAGAGGCCCAGTGCATGAAAATTCATGCACTGGCGGGGAGGGGAGGGAAGACCCTCAGCTTGGCCTGCCCCCTCTCAAAGTCAGGGAGCCCTCGAGGTGGGAGGCAACCCGGCCATCAGGTGAAGGCGACACCCCATCACACCTCTGCTGTTGCCACTGCCCACAGCGCAAGCTTTGGCTGGCCCTGAGCAGCCGCCATCTAAGGCTTATCTGCACCTCAGATCAGCCCTGGGCAACTGGACAGTCGCCATCCGAGTCTTGCCTGTGCCTTGGGCCAACCCTGGGCGGCTCAGGGGCTGAGGGGCTGGGGAGCTCTGGAGGCAGGTGCATGGGGCGGGCCCGGCCTTGCCGTGTGCCTGCCGCCCCAGCAGGGCTGAGGGGACTGGACATTGCCATCTTTTGGCTATAGGCGGCGCCATCTTTGAGGGTGTTACAGTCAATTAGCATATCCCTCTTTATTAGATAGGATTATATTTCTGTCAGGCCCAAGGAGGGTTAAAGTACATGGAAGAGTCTGAACTAGGTAGGAGACCACAGATGTCTCCAAGTAGCCATGTGAATGCAGCCTTCTATGCCTCAACATTGTCATTTATTTATACATTTTAAAAATATATGAAGAATAGTAACTACCCTACTCCAGGGATCTTTCTCAGGATAGAATGAGAGGATGTTTTCAAAAGGCAAGTGTCTAACAAAAAGTGGTGGTATCATTAGATGTAAAGTAATCATAGAAAAAAAGGTCAACTGACCTGTAGGGCAGTTTTTCCTTTTTATTTAGATCAAAATATTGTACATAATCAGTTAATTCAAGCGAAGTAACAAAGGTTAACCACCTAAAATGCAATTATTACAATTTCTGACCTTGCCATTAATTTGGTAATTAATCATTCTCCTAATTATCTCTCTCCCATCATTCCCTTACATTGAATTTAGCCTGTTGTATATTTACATCTTTATCACTTGTGTACATCTTGAACTTTCCTGTATCTCAGATTACCCATGGCACCTTGTGCAGAATGGAGCTGAAAGGCAGATTCCATTGTTTCAACAGAATAAACAATTTTCACACAAGTATCGAAAACAACATAAGTTCCACTTTTATTACATAATGGTACTTTGCCACCAATATCTAGCTTTTCAATACAACAGTAGAAAAATAATAAATCCCTATTTTGAATTATAAAATATTTAAATTATTATTATTATTCTTTCAAAAGTATTTACATATTCTTCACTTATGGCTAAAAGTTATGGTGGCCCAAAAATGTTTAACAGCATTGACAACAAAACAATAAATGAATAAACACATGTGTACTATTTTAAGTTAATTAAAAAACACACTGTCATACTGTTCAGTTAGATTTTTTTTTTATCATTCATAATAAAGTCCCCCAAAATTTCAAATTTCATGGTCCATTAATACTCGATATTCAAATCAGGCACAGCAGTGGGGCAAATCCTTTAATAGCAGCCTCAGATTTGTCTTAGACAGATGGGATAGAAATAAAATATTTCTCCTCATTTTGAACAACCTCCATTCTAAACATTAAATATACTGCCCCAAATCCCACTGAAAAGAAACTCCTTCCCTGAAAATATCAAATGATGCATAAAAGCCACCCAATAGATTGTAAACTTTTTATTTTAAATAGGTAAAATTTTACACTATTCATTATAACCCCATTTAGAGAAACTAATTACTTTAAGTACCAAACAGTGAAGTCTTGTCCCAACCAGGGAAGCACATTCTATAATAACAGGTCTTATAATCCAGTGTTAATAGTACCATCATGCTGTTTTATGAGGCAATTATTCAGTTCCTAAGCAAATAAAATTAAAGCTGATGTAGGAAACAGATCCTTCCACAATAAAATTAACTAAGACAATTCCATTGACACTATCATGGCATCATTGTTTGATTTTGAATAGGTCCAATGATAGAGTACTGAGGTCCATTTCAATTTCTTTTCTTACATACCTTACTCTACTAGTGCATAAGGAAAGAATGGCTGCTTTTCTTCAGATTGATGATAGTACACAGGCCTATTTCTTAAGTGTAATGTTTTAATTAATGTTCTTCAAAACTGCAGGTTGGATAAGCAGGGCAGTAATTTAAATTAGTGGTCTGAGGATAAAGCATGTAGGGGTTCTCCATGATCACTTTTACCTTTTCCTCATTTCTCCCCAAGGAAGAGCCCTTAGGCATTTGCTGATGAGATTATGGTGCAGATTATGGCTCTGTCTCCTCTCCTTTCTCTGTTACAGACCAAAGCCCTCATCCACTTGAGACAGTCCTGGTCATCTCACAGAGAAGCATAATGGTGGAACCTGCTCTCTCTTTTTGCACCCAATAAAGCAGCAGGAGTAAAGTGACTTCAGGGGCTGCTCCTAGGTCCTTTCAACCGCTAGGTCCTTACATTAGGGCCAGAGGACAGGAAATAATGATGCAAGTTTAGGGTTGGGCAGGTGGAATGGAAGTCTAACTTAATCAGAATCTGCTTTGAGATGAAGCTACTTATGCTCCAATTGGTCCAACCTAGCTAACTGGAGTTTTCAATATTAGGGATTGAGAATCAAATTAAATAACAATGCTATTTTGTTCCTATTACTCATTGTTTCTTGGGCAGGGACCACAGGAACTGGGTAGGAAGAGATAATTTTGATCTGATGTAAAATCCAGGCATTCCTGGTCCCCTGCCCCTAATATCAAAGAATATCTCAACACCAACATTATGTCTCACACCGACAATTTCAATTTAAGAAACCTTCTAGTTGGCATCCTGTTAAAACAATGGGACTTGCTATTAACAAGATGTACCATCTAACCCTTGTAGGTAGCACTCTTAAGCACAGGTATCAAGTTCAAGTTGGGAAGTTAAATTCCAGGTTGTGCAAGGTAGCATAAGGTATAGGCCACTAGACCCACCTATGTCTCAACCTATATAATAAAAGGCCATCCAGAACGATGCTCAACGCAGGAGCTGAGCCCTGGTGGTCAGTGCACTTCCACAGTGGGAGCACCACTCAGCTGACTGGGATGAGTGGCTGCTTAGAGGGGGGGTCCACAGTGGGCCAATCCCTATAAGCCATGCCCCTCACAGTGCATGAACCCCATGCACTGGGCCTCTAGAATATATATATATATGGGATGGAAGAGTATTGGGACCCACACAAATCTGAAAACAAAACAAAACAAAACAAAACAAAAAAACAAAGAAATCAAGTCCACTGGCACAAACAGAAAATTGTGTTTGCTTTAGAAAGCTATATAGGCAACTTTGGGTAATACAGCTGTGCTATAAAAAAAATAATAAATAAATAAATAAAAGATGCCTGGATCCTCTCCACCCCCCCTCAAGAAGGTCTACCTCATAAATGTACAGAGATTATTACAGATTATTGGACCGGGGAGGAGAAGACAGGGAGAACTATACTTTTTTTTTTCAAATCACAATCGTTGCATGCACAATCACTCCTTAGTTTACAGTGGGAACTTTTAATGCCTCAACTCAGACACCCAATGACTACACCTTTAAGGAGAAAAATGGAAAAATGAATTAAGTGAATGTAAGCCACTGTAAACCCTGCATGAGTTTCACTTCTTATAACCAAATTTGTTGATCCGATTTTCCCTAGGCTACCAGCTTGCTAGAATACAAGGCCTGTTTTCTAAGCCCTAAGAGTTCCACCAAAGAGAAACCAGACTATCCTGACAGGAATACAGTATAAGAGGTTCATATAGAAGGGGTAGTTTACACAGTCAACAATGTTTAAATGCCCATTTCTGCACTCCATCTGCACATATAGAGGAAACTTTCATTTGCCTGGAACACAAATAGAAAAAGCAATAAATTACCTCTAGGCAAGATAATGCCCAGCTATTAACAAGATACGGGCTGCCCGCCTGTCCTTAAATTATCATGGAACAGAAATGATGTAGTGCCACGGACTATAGAAAGGACAAGGGGAAAGGCAGGAAGGATTATAAAAGATACAAAATATAAAACTTAAGATACACAGTAGTATCTTTTTAGTTATTCCTTAAGGATGAAGGGAGAAAAAGTAATTGATTTTCCAAATAAAAACCGAAAGTCAAACTTCAAGTTGTAAATTGGGAAAACCACTTGTCCCTCACATTAATGTTATCCGAGCGGGACCTATAAATACGTCAAACGTAAACAATATCGGGAACGGGTAGGACGTATGAATACGTCCTTGAAATATATGTTGCGCCCCGAGAGGGACGGTATATATTTTTTGTAACCTATTTTTTAAAATATTTTATTGATTTTTTACAGAGAGGAAGGAAAGGGGAGGGATAGAGAGTTAGAAATATCGATGAGATGAGAGAGAAACATCGACCAGCTGCCTCTTGCACACCCCCCACTGAGGATGTGCTGGCAACCAAGGTACATGTCCTTGACCGGAATCAAACCCGGGACCTTTAAGTCTGAAGGTCAATGCTCTATCCACTGAGCCAAACTGGTTTCGGCTATTTTTTGTAATCTTTATCATTGTTTGTAAAATTTATAATTTTTTAATTTGACGTGTCCATTTTTTTGTATTCTTTTCTATTTTTTTGTAATTTTGTATTTTCCTTTGTGCTTTATATATATAAATAAACGAAAATATATATATATTTCATTTATTTTCATTAAGTATAAATAAATAAAAATATGAAATTACGTCCTCCGGGCGTAACGTACTGACATGTCCTAGTGAAAGAGTATGAGCCCATTACAGGTTGCGTCATTAAAAAGGGAACTCCCCGGTTAACAGGTTAACAATAAAAGGTTAGGTTGGGCCAGGAGACTTGGGGAGGCTTACCATGCAACAATCACTCAATGAAAG